TGCATCAGTTTGCTCAGACCATCTGAATCCTCATTTTCAGGCCATGGCTCTACAAAAAACTAGGCCAAATTAAATTGTTTGAGCACTTAAAATGAGCACAAACCCAAATTATTTCCAGAAATTCTGAATAACTTGGGGAAAAAGAGGAGAGCAATTTACTCATACAGACTATATTTAAAATAGACCCTGCATAACATACATAAGCTTGAACTTCTGATATTTCCCCCTTTTATTTCCTTGCTACCAAGCATAAACTGGGAACTAACACTTAAACCTGTTTTTTATCTTTAAAATGACCACAGGAACATCCTGAAGGAACAGCGTGGGTCCCAACTTGCACAGTATGTTTTATATATGCCATATTATTAAAAACATATAAAACCAAATCATTTCAGTTACTGGATGCCTTCAAAAAGCAAACCTAATTTTTACCATAACTAATTTTGCTCAAGTCCTTCCTTTCTACCTGACATCACACTCCTACAATTCCCCTCTCCCACATGGGTGGGGAAACTCTGAGGGAAGATAAACAGGTTGTTGGGTGATGCCTGTTCATGTGTATAGTGTATTATGAGATCTGGAATCTGGTGACCTTAATTCCATGTTAAAGTTCTATGCATGCATGGAGATACAAACGGAGAAAAGGCCTTTTACAAGGTCATCCAGTTTTTTGTGCTTCAGGGGATAAAATCCTGCTATTCAGTTCTTTCACAAAGCAGAACTCCTTTTGATATTACTATTTTATTTCATTATCTAATTTGCCTCCAGTACTATTTTATGTGGTGTGATGACTTTAGGGTACTTCAGATGTGATAGTCAGATGTAAGCAGCTTTTAAATGCTATTTTTTTCCTTTGAATTGAATTACTCTGGAGTTTATTTGATAAGCTTTGGTGGAGTTTTAATTTAGTTCAGTGTATTAAGTTATGACCTTATTATTATACCTTCAGCTTGTCACAATAGTTTTATGCTACTGGACATAAAACATTCATACAATGCTGGAATGGTTTGAATTGGAAAGGACCTTTAATCTCATGCAGCTCCAACCCCTGCCATGGGCCGGGACCCCTTCCACTACAGCAGCTTGCTCCAAGCCCCTGTGTCCAATCTGGCCTTGAACACTGCCAGGGATGGGGCAGCCACAGCTTCTCTGGGCACCCTGTGCCAGCGCCTCAGCACCCTCACAGGGAAGATCAAAGCAAAATCCATACAAAATCTGAATTCAGCCACTGGGTATCATTGCAAATAAATAGATATTAAAGTCAAACCCTTCCTGTGGGCCTTTAGAAGGGCAGTTATACTGAACAATATGTCTAAAACAGTTTATACCAGTAAAACTCTTTGAAACCCTAATTTATTAGTCTCTATGAGCCCACATTCGATCAAACTGAGCAGGAAAGCAAAAAAACAGTTGTCATGTTGACTAGGGCTTTGGTGATTTAAAATGATAAATAATTCTTCAGTATTACAATAATAGTATTTTCTGGCATGACAGAGTGGTTTATCAGCATACTTAGCACAGAGAATCCTGTCCCACCCTTAGTGATAAACTTCCTTGCAAACACAGCAATACTTACAGGAAAACACAAGTTCTAATAAGGGTTTTCAGGCTGCCTTTAAATCTGTCTCCAAGAGCAGCATACATACAAATACTTGCAAAAGTAGACCTATAGGAGGTAGAAAAAAATGACATTTTCTTCAAGGTTTAAAGTTCCTGTTAGGTTCGCTTGTATCTGGGAACATTTAGGAGTACAAACTGACAAATATATCTGCATACACACTGAAGTCAAGCTGCCAACTTTCAAAAAGGTGTTGAAAAACAGTTTGTTTTAAATCAGTTCTTGTATCTCCTTGCTAGTTTTTTAGATAGTTTCAACTTATTTGAGCAATCAGAAGGTTCTTAGGAAGAAACCTCCTTCACTGAGATCCAGCAGTATGGATCTGCGAGGATTTAATGATCAGGCTCATCAGTGGAAGACAGTGGCCTAATAATGCAAAAGGCCCCTAATCACCGAAGTGTGGCTTGAGCACAAGAACAAGAAGAAAGTAAAGAGAATTAGATAAATTAACATCTTAATTCCTTCCGTGAAGATCCTTATGGGAGGACATTTGTTCTGTGTTCTGAAGATGTGGTTTGGAAGCACTTGAATGAAGCATATTTCATAGATTTGTGCCACTACTGATTTTTAACTGAAATTCTAAGAAAACACAAGCTCCAGTGAATGCTTTTACTAGATTAGGGTGTTTATAAGGTATAAAGGCATTAGGCAAATGAGGCATTAAATTCAGGCAGCAGCTTAAGAATTAGGGAATAGTCACAACTCACATCTTTTGTTCAATGTTAATAAATAATTTGAGTGTGACATTCAGAAAAAAACACTAGCACAACTTCTAATGGAAACAGGTGAAGGAGAAAACATTAGCATTTGTGACAAGAACTTCCCTGGCAAAGTCTCAATTTGATGAATAATTCAGTAATACTCCTACTCTGTGCAAAGTAACATGGAAAATGTATAAAAGTCATTAGAAGAAAGCTTTTATGAAACTATCCAAATTACAACATAATCCATTAATACCTAAGATAAACATTCACAATGAAGTTCAATTGCTCAAGAAATTCTCAAACACATTGAACAAGTTCTGTATTAGGAAAGCAAAGCTTAGACTTCACATATATGCCCTATACAGAACAAACAGCTTTGATCCTGAGTAGCTGATAATGTTTGAATAACCTATGAAATCTGTTTCATGAACAGTTTACAATGAAAGTGTCTTTTCTAAAAGCTGACTTGCTAAAAATATAACCATCTCCAGCATCACAAGATAAACTCCATAAAGAAGCATAAGGTGTTTATGAGATTTCTTTGTTTAGAAGTAGGGAAATGATGTGCACATCCTCACCAGGTGAACCAAGAAAAATTCATCGCTGGAGAAGTGCACAATGATAAAAATTAGTTCTTAAATGTAACTAAATGGAATCTGTATATGTAAATAAGACTGCAAACGATACTGGGTTCATACGTTCTGTATAGTTGTATTATTTCCGTACTTCAGTGAAGGCTTATGATCTTTGTTTGTTACAGATTTGTCATTAAAATGGGACGTAGTAGGGAACAGAGGAAATCTGCTGTGAGTAAAACACTTCTACTTAATTATACCGTCATCATGTCATTAGGACATGTTAGAGGTAAATATGAAAACTTCATCATCAATACAGCACTTAAACAACCCCACGTAAACTGCTTTAAAGAGGTGAGGATCAGGAGATCTCAAGTCTTTCTACAACTTTCGTTTTGTTGTTAATAAAGCCACTAGGATTGGCAGCACATTAACAAAGATGCTTTTAAGTGTTGATCTTCAACACAGAAAAAGACCAACAGCAGTGTCCTGAGACAAACACAGGAATAAAGTCATTCTTTGTCTCATTGTTCGTAATCCCCATTATTTATCTTGAATAATCTAAACACTCTACACCATTTTAATACACTGCTAGACAGAGCCTTACACTAGAAATTTTGGTGTAGTAATCAATAATTATGATTATTAATAGCCATTTAAGTTAACCAATGAATGAATAAGAACAGATTAATACTTGAGAGTCTCTATTTTCTCAAACCTGCTTCTCCTCACACACAGTTACTTCCAGTGGGGTCACAAGCTGCTAAAATGATATGATCCCATCACACAAAATATGAGCTCATCTGGAATTCTTAAAGAAAATTAATAGCTTTTACGTGTAAAGAAAGAGATTACTCTTAACTCATTACTATTTAGTGTCACAAAAGACATAGCAGTATTTTCCTGAATGCTGATTTCCCAAAGGCGCTGTATTTCAGTGTGGTGTATCCCTGTATTTAGAACTCCATAGGCAAATTATTCATTAGTAAACCCTGTATTTTTGATGAAGCAACATCTCTTCGGGATGCACACACCTTTCTATCCTTGGAAAGCAACACTTAAGTTACCAATAGTAAACATGTTGCTACAGTGCCTCCTAGACTGAAAGCAGTGTGATTACCAAGAGCATATGCTTAAATGTTAGGACAGGGCACAGGAAGGACATACAAATTAAAAGTTCTTCCAAACAAGTTTGGGAAGACTAATCAGAAAATTATCTACACTGCAGAGGTACATCCCCAGTTTTGGGTGTACCAGATGGAACAGGCCTAAAGAGGTTCAACACATAAATACTGCTTCATTAAATCAGACCTGACAAATATCTTGCAACCTTTTAAAATCACAGTGATACCAAGTCGACGTCAGGATTCTAATCTTTCATCAGAGTTACTCCCACTTCACGTAAGTCTACCCTGACTGTTGTTACATCAGTGGGCCACCTCAATTATTTCTGGCATGAGGTCCAATATAAAACCTGTTGAAATTAATGAAGAAATGGTTAACGAAAGTGAGCTTTTAATTAATGATGGGGGACACAGCAGAAGTTAAACTACTATTTTTATCTCAGAGTCATAGAATAATCCAACAGATTCCTGGAATGGTTTGGGTTGGAAGAGACCTTATCCAGTTCCAACCCCCTGACACAGGCAGGGACCCCTTCCACTGGAGCAGCTTGCTCCAAGCCCCTGTGTCCAACCTGTCCTTGAACACTGACAGGGATGGGGCAGCCACAGCTTCTCTGGGCACCCTGTGCCAGCGCCTCAGCACCCTGTGTTATTCACAGTGAACAGCAGTTGTTGAGGTATTGCAGGGTCTGAATTGTCAGATTTATACCCTAAAGGGAAAGCTGCAATGGGCCTAGTCATATCAAAGCTCTGTATTGCCAGCTCCTACTTACTCGTACAGTTTGGGAAGAGCTGGCATCCAATTACTATGCTGAGCTTACATACACAACACTGCACACGTGAATCACAATATTACTTCCAAACAGCTGCAGATAAGTACTGAAAAAGTACTTATCTCAATAATGGATTTCAACTCTTTTAGGGTAATTTTAATGAACACGCAGTACAGGAATGAAATGAAAAGACTTAAAGAAAGTGATACAGTTTGAGAATCAAAAGGAAGCTTTGTTCTTGCATCAGAATGTATTAGATCCTGCAATTTGCATATACAAATAATTCAGCAACATTCACCGGCATTATAAACACAGCAAGATCAAATTATAAATGTAATAAAAGAAAATAATAATAGCTGAAACTCTATAATACATACATATATTATAAAGATTTGACAAATTAAATACAATTTGGTTATACAGAAAAAGTTGCAATAACTTTACATTAAAAATGGCGCTCGAGAAATGAAAAACAGTTCAAAATACTGAACATGGGTGGTCAGGCTCCTTTGAAAAGTTTAAAAAACTGATACATAAAAATACCCTAAAAAACACTGGTAATTACAGTATGCATTCTTCATTAAGGCCCAATTCAGCAAAGCACTTAAGGGATTGCTTCAGGAACAAAGAACCAAGGGTACTTCAATGTTTTGTGGAATAGAGACTTTGGAAAGCCAATGCTTAAATGCTTAGGTGAACTGGAACCTATCTTAACACATGAAAACAGTCGAGTCACACAGTGACCAAACCACACACCGATCAGAATGTACAGCTTCCAATCAGCTATTTGGCATTTGAAAGTAATTCCATGCAACAGAGGACAAATTAAAAGAAAATTAATCTGTATCTATACCAAGACAAAGCTTCCCAGTTACTTGCCTGCTGCAACAAGCAGCCAACTGGCTAAACACAGGAACTGGAAAGCAAGCTTTTCAAATTATATATAGATATAAAAAAACGTAGCTCTATTTATGACTTCTGAAATATATTATAGGTATTTTTGTTTCCTCCTACATATCTTAATATAGTTAGCAATTAAAATCTGAGTACCCACGTAGTATTTGACATTGCAGCCTAACTCCATCCTACTGCTTGCTAGAACTACACATTGCTGCCTGGGTCCTGCAGAATGACCCCTGATAGTAAACCTGGTGAGCAGCGGGGGTTCTGCTGCAGCTCCTCATGCTCTCCAGGGGCCATAGCTCCCAGAAAACATCACGCCATAGTGCTGTCATGCTGAGGAAGTTTGCTTCATGAGGCAACTCTTACTCAAAGATTTAATTAGGGGACCCCAAAAGATGCCAAACAGACACATTGTTTATCACATGTAGGCTAAATGTATGGGAAGACCCTGGCATTGGGACTTAATGGGACCATAAAATACACTTACTTGGAAGGCACAGAATCCTAGACTGGTTTGGGTTGGAAGGGGCTGTAAAGCTCATCCAGTTCCAACCCCTGCCATAGGCAGGGACACCTTCCACTGGAGCAGCTTGCTCCAAGCCCCTGTGTCCAACCTGGCCTTGAACACTGCCAGGGATGGGGCAGCCACAGCTTCTCTGGGCACCCTGTGCCAGCGCCTCAGCACCCTCACAGGGAAGAGCTTCTGCCTAAGAGCTCATCTGAGTTTCCCCTCTGCAGGTTAAAGCCATTCTCCTTGGCCTGTCCCCGCAGGCCCTTGCAAAATGTCCCTCTCCAGGTTTCCTGTTGGTCTCTTTAGATGCTGGAGTTGCTGGAAATTTCTTTGTGTTATTTTCCATCATCATTTAACCTCTCTGAGTCTCCCTGTGCTACAAATGATCATACTGAAAACCCCACTGGGTTGGTTTCCATATTGAATTTATTCAATGGCTGTTTAAAACTGGATAAAATTTCAGCAAGCAGTAGTAATGTAAACTTACTCAGCATTCGTATTCATTACTCAACACTCTGTGGCTTGAGTGTATCTTCTCATGGCAACTCAACGGTTTAGTCTTTAAACAATCTGTTTATGTGCATAATTTACTGTACAAATAAATAGAGAAGTGCATCATTGGGAAGACAAGAAGCAGTAAATGGCAGTGTTCGGAACAGTGGGCTTAGGTCTTTCTAAAACTGCACTTTTTCCATTCAGGATGAAATGCAAGGAGAGGGATGCACACGTTCCTGATTCCTTTCATTGGTCTGAAGTACAGTGCTATTTGTTAGTGGAAATGAAGAATGGCCATGGGATAAAATAGTGCAAGAACAACAGTGAAATGACCAGTGTAAGTTGCTTACTTTAAATAAGGCTTTTATGTTTGCATTGAAAGAAACCCCAATCAACAGGACAAGACAGAGCTATTGCATACTAGTTATGTAATTAAAGTACATAGTCACATACTTTGTGCTCATTAGTTCATATATGCCTTTTAAAGAGTGGAAAAGATATACCTTTTCATTATTCAACATTCGGATGCCCTGTGATTTTGGGGGTTTCTAACCCCCAACCACATCCTGTGCAGGGCTGTGATAAAGACTTTTAAACTTTATTTCACCAATTATATTATGAGTAGTATTTTCATTAAAAATATATCTATATACACAATCATATACCCCTTTTAGATAAAGGAAATGCTCCTTTTTGGATAAAATATATATAGGAGGGGAAGAACACAGAGGAGCATTTTGCTACAACACAATTTTGCCAGAATTACACTGTTAGTAAAATGGTTTTTCAGAGTTTTAGCAAATACTATTAATTATTCTGTTGAACTGAATCAAAGAATAAGAGTTCATCTTTTTGGCCTATGCTCAAAGATGTGGGAAAATATGCAAATGTATAAAAAGAAGCTTTAAATCAATTTCTGACAATGTCTATAAAGCTTCTTGAAGTAGACAGCCTTAGGTGCTGCAAAATATACTCTTCTGATATGCAAAATATTCTCCAAATAGTGGTAAACTGACACTATTGTCTTTCTAAATTGATTTAAGCTGGTGTACTATTTAGGAAAGAACAAAAGAAATGGACTTTGAAAGCTCTATTAAATCAAAAAGTCAAATCTGAATTTATACTGATTATGTCTTACTGATGGCAAGACTCAGAGCTGCCACCAACCTGGAGGTTCTTAAAAAGGACTTTGAAAACAGTTATATTTTTCAGGTGGACTGTATGTTATGACACATGGAGGGCCATATTCTGATACCTTTATCATTAACAGCACTTCACTCAGTCTCCTTGCCTTCAATGAGACTATCTGTGAAATAAATAACAAGCAAGCTCAAGCAAGTTATCAGCATGTGTCCCCAGATAAACATCAGTTTTCAGAGTGAAGAAAGATTTACGGCCAAAACATGTTTAGTTTAAACCTATGTACCACAATTCACCTTTTTTTCAGTATGAAACATAAATCACCTGTGTAAAGTTTCCAGAGTTGGGAGATAACACTGATAAATATTTATAAGGGGAAAAATGCAAAGAAATTAATTTACTGTTATCTAGAATAAAGATTTCTCTACCATTTTATAGTGATATACTGTGTATGAACATTATACTTCGCTTTAGAAGATATTTATATTTAAGAAATAACTTTATACAGCAAACGCAACTTTTAGAGCCAACACAGGGTCTTATTTACAATAAAGTGGACAAACAAAATGCCATGGAATAAATTAACAGAATATAAAACTCTTTATACAGAGAACTTAAAAAATAAGGCAGGGATTTTCACTTGAAATTAGCATAATCAGAAAAGATGTCGATGAAATCTTGTACCACTCTGTAGCAGAATTCATACTGTTCCTGAAAAACAATAAAGAGATATTAAAATGTGCTTTGGTTACATTGGACTATCACAATGGAGAAAATTAGACTTATGCAAATCCTACTGCTAAATGCAACATGTTCTGACTTGGACCAGTAGCTGAGGACTGGACCATTCTAACTTAAGCAGTAGTGGTGGTACCTCACTCTTGTCAAATACAGGCCGATTGTTGCTCTTTCTAATGTTTATTCAATTAAAAGTGTGTGGACCAAGCTTCCCATATTACTTGTAGATGACTTTAAAGAAGCCAAAGACATTTCTCCCTTTCAGGGAGCAACTGCGAGCCAGTTTGAGCCCAGACGTTTTAAGATAAGAAAGAAAAACTGATACACAGCTTATAAGGCATTTATTTCCTATGTTATGTCACCTGCAATGCTCAAAGAGTTGGGTTTAATCTGTCTCCTAAAAGACACAGAATCTCTAGCCAAGTTGCATTTTTCAAAATGCTATAAAAGAGAAATCTATAAAAATACAGATTTCTGATAATACCTTGTACATACGCAGCCTTCATACATAATTTATTTCCACCTGCAAAAAAACCCTCTTTGTTCTCCTCCCACAAGAATATTTACAGACATGCTTTGACAAAGATCCACATTGTTAAACATCATACCAGTGTCTGCACCATATGTGGCCTTTGCAGTCTTAAGCTCTTCACAGCTTGAAATACATCTAAGAGCCCTTCAGCCTTCACCCGTTCCAGAATATTGCTGAGTGCTATGAATGTACCTGTTCTTCCAGCGCCAGCACTGCAACATAAACACAGTGGCTTGACATACAGCAGGATAAAAATGTTAAATGAGAAGTAATAGTGATATGAAATAGCCAAATACTCCTATTACCCAACTTATTTCTTGTGCTTCTTTTGTCACTTTGCCTGTGCCAAAAGGGAGATAGGATTAATGGCCATTAACTCAGAGCCAAGTTGGAACCAATGAAGACTCATTATGGAGAGCTTCTGTATGAAGGTGGATGATCCTGAGCTGGCTGAGCCACCCTCAGCCAAGGTCTGAGACTCAAATCCTGAGCTGGCAAAGCTGCATACTCAAATCTGCATTCAACAGAGAATTTCAGTGTTCCCACACTCTGCTTTTGGTTTTATTACTGATGAGAAAGAACACAACCTTCAGCGTTTCAGTTCCAAGACTTGGTTATAATGCAAAGAAGCCCTGTGCAACCAAACCCACAGCTTTCTGTGAGGTTGCAATTTATACTTCTACAGGGTGGACAGATATGAAAGCATTATTATTGTCATTATTACTATCATCATCATTATTCCAAAGCAATTTGATGGAAAATGGCCTATCCATCTTTGATGATTTTAGTGACTCTTATGACCAAACCCATTTCTTAAAAAGGTATATTAATATAAGGACAAACTAAGGCAGGACTACACACAAAGCTGTAATACATACAAGAAACTAAAATCCACTGGTTCTGCCTCAATCTGGACTACTATAAGAAACTTAGTGCACTTAAAGTAACTAGTGTCTTTTGGTTCCGTATGTCCTGTATGTTCAATGAGTATATTTTGTCTTACATCTGTGGAACCAAAAATATATTTCAGTATTTATTACTTGATTAATTATGCCTAACTCAATAGAAAAAAAAAAAAAAAAAAAAACAAAAAACAAAACAAACCCACAACACCCAACAAAACAAACCCCAAACAAACTAAACCAAACAGAGATTTCTTTCTCTCTACTGATGACACTAATTAGGGACTATCTGACATCAACCAAACAGTGGCTCCACACTGAAAGGGGATAGCTTTGATAGGGAATAGATACTAAAACCGGGATGGGACTGGGAAAGGATGCTGGGGATGGGACTCTTCATTAGGGACTGTAGTGACAGGACAAGGGGGTAACGGGTTAAAACTTAAATAGGGGAAGTATAGATTGGATATAATGAAGAAGCACTTTACTGTGAGGGTGGTGAGGCACTGGAATGGGTTGCTCAGGGAGGTTGTGAATGCTCCATCCCTGGCAGTGTTCAAGGCCAGGTTGGACAAAGCCTTGGGTGCCATGGTTTAGTGTGAGGTGTCCCTGCCCATGGCAGGGGGTTGGAACTGGATGATCTTAAGGTCCTTTCCAACCCTCACTAGTCTAGTCTAGTCTAGTCTAGTCTAGTCTAACCAGTCAATGATAAGATGGAGTGGAAGGTTCACTGCATTGCTGAATAAGGATTAACAGTACATTCATTAAACTTTAATTTTCACATGCTTTAACCGTAAGTAAGTGAATTGTAACCATGTGTCATTGCTTCACCTTATTTCTAGCAAATACAAAAGAACACATCTGAGAAGCACAAAACCAAACATAGGAACCTTTCTTCTGGGGGTTTGAAACCTGTCTGACCCTGTCCCTGTGCACTCAGAGCTTGACTTCGTATGGAACAGAAACCAGAAGCAGCTTTATTGATTTGTGACATTTTAAATGCTTTAAAAGCAAGGGATGAGCTGGGCGTCGGGACAAGGCACAACACTGTGCTTACTGCTGCTTATTTTGTCTGTTCTCAAACAGCAGATGTAGTGCAGAAAAATACAAATATAAAACTTAGTACAAACTCCGCACTCTGAAATGTGTCACTTGAGAAAACAGAAGCACAAGGTGGACCTCAAAAAAAAAGGAAAAGGGAGAAGAATGGGAAAAATAAAGGAGTGGGGGGAAGGAGGGGGGAAAGCCCAAGAAGGGGGGGGAGGAAAAGGAGAGGGGACAAAAAGGAGGGAGGAGTAAAAAGAAGCAAAAAAGCCAGGGGGTGAAAACAAAAGGGGGGGGGAGGAGGGAGGGGAAGAAGGAAAAAAAGAAGAAAAAAGGAAAAACAAAAAAGGAAAAAGAAAAGAAAACAAAACAAACAACAACAAAAAAGAACAAAAAAGGAAAAAAGGAAGAAAGGAGGAAAGAAGGGGGGGAAAGGAAAAAAGAAAAAAAAAGGGAAAAATAAGGACAAAATTAAAAAAGAAAAAAGGGAAAAAAAGAAAAAAAAGGAAAAAAGAAAAAAGGGAAAGAAAGGGAAAAAGTAAGAAAGGAGGAAAGATGGGGGAAAAGGAAGAAAAGGAAAAAATAAAGGAAAAAATTATAAAAAGGAAAAAAAAAAAAGGAAAAGGGGAGGGAAAAAAGATAAAAGAGGCACAAAAAATCCCACCATGAAAACCTGGCCCAGGACAAGGCTGTTTTGCAGCTGATGTGTATGAAGTGACACACAAGCTGCCTCTTAGCATTATTATGTAAGTATTATTTTCTCTCTGCCTCCGAGCACATTTCACCCTCAGCTCGGAGCAGGGCAATACTTAACTCTCCTGACAGTCTGTAAAAACCAGGAGCAATTTGATGCTGACAGCACACTGCAGCACTGCACTGGTGGGTGCATTGCCCATCACCACAACATACCCACAGCTCCACTTCCCCCATCACAGTGTTTAGCAAAGCTCAGGTGCACGACTACAACACCCCCACGTAACAATAGGTCTGTTTACTCCTGCCCATCAAGTCCACCATCATCATCATCTGTTGATTTAGCAAAACAAAAGTCAAAAACCCTTTATGGAATACTAGGTTTTCTTTTTTTTCCCTAATTTTTTTCTTAGCTTTTATTCATTGCCTTTTAATGGATGTGGTGTACTCCATCACGGAGGAAAACTGTCATAAAAACACTAAGAAAAGGAAAAAAGAAGAGGAAAAGCAAGCCAGTTCCTTAGCTAATAGGGGGAACCAGAGGTGCCTCACCTGCAGTGCACAGTGATGGGGTGGTTGCCTGTTTGCTGCTGCTGCTTTTGGACAGCCGCAATCAGGTCGATCATCCCTTTTCCTTCTGCAGGAATCCCGATTTCTGGCCACCCATGGAAATGGAACTGCCGGACGAGCCTGCTTTGCTTCTCCTGGTTACCCTGTGAAAAGGAAAACACCAGGTTTATCCTATTGTCACTTCAAAATGGAAACACACTTTTACCTTAAATATTTGCATGAAACCTGGAGAGGGGCTTGGGACAAGGGCCTGTAGGGACAGGCCAAGGGGAATGGCTTGAACCTGCCCAAGGGGAGACTGAGCTGAGCTCTTAGGCAGAAGCTCTTCCCTGGGAGGGTGCTGAGGCGCTGGCACAGGGTGCCCAGAGAAGCTGTGGCTGCCCCATCCCTGGCAGTGCTCAAGGCCAGGCTGGACACAGGGGCTTGGAGCAAGCTGCTCCAGTGGAAGGGGTCCCTGCCCGTGGCAGGGGTTGGAGCTGGATGAGCTTTAAGGTCCCTTCCAACCCCAACCAGTCTATAAGTCTAACTCTTGCAAGCACAGCTGCAAACACTGGGTCTCTGCTGATGCTTGGTGCTTTCAGCATGTTCCCCAGCAATGCAAATCAGATCCTACAGAAATAATGCAGTGAGGAGATGTGTACCGAAAAGGTCAATAATCAGTCTGAATGGATCATGCCTGTAACAGGGAAACATAAAGGAAGAGCTGACATGCAGAGGCAGGGCCACGTGCTGTGAAAGGCTTCATAGGATTTTAAAATCTGGAATCAAATTTCCCTTTATATTGTGGGAGAGGGAAGAAAATACAAGAGTAACAGCAACAAGAAGACATAAAACCCCCTAAACAACCAAACTGGAATGGGCTGCCCAGGGAGGTTGTGAATGCTCCATCCCTGGCAGTGTTCAAGGCCAGGCTGGATGAAGTCTTGGGTGATATGGTTTAGTGTGAGGTGTCCCTGCCTATGGCAGGGGGGTTGGAACTGGATGATCTTAAGGTCCTTTCCAACCCTAACTATTCTATGATTCTAAACCCCACATCCCTGTGTAAGATGTTGATGAAGCACATTTCTCTTTAGATAGAAATCCCCTAATTTAACTCATGTGATCATAATTTTAAATGCCTCAAATGCAAAAAAACACCCCTTAATGTCATAAAAACATTACCTGGTTGTATGTAACTAGGAAGTCCCTTACACTTATTGCATCTAACAGGCTGTCATTCTTTATTTCTACCGTTATCTCTCCATGAGTTACGGAGCCCTCTGATGGCCAGTACTGGCAGCATTTTTCCTGCAAAACCGAGAGAGAATTGTAAGTAAATGTTCCTTTAATTTTTTTCCACTTAGCCACGTTGTCATGAATCTCTGATGTAGGAGCTGACATACATAATAAACGTGTTCTAAACAGCATAGTAAAAAGGCTAATAACTAAGAATACAGTAATGAGATATTTCTCTATTATAAACCATTATGACGATAAAGGCTTGGGAGTCAGATGCCACATCCTGCTTTAAAACAGATTAAAGTATTAACTCCTGAAAGCAGTGCGTTGTTGTTAAAAACTCTCCCAACTAAGCACATTTCACAGCACTAAAACACCCTGGATCTTCAAACTGCAGCACACAAAGGTGCTACAGGACTCTCTCTATTGATGAATGATGTCCTAGGAGGGGTTCAGAATAAGCCACTGGAGCTTGTACTGGTAGAACAGGGATGGAAGTCCTTACAAAAGCCTTGTCCTGCTGTTCCAAATCCCACATGGCTATTCCATGTCAGACCCCTCCTAAATTTAATGCTTTTCCTGTGAACTGGGTCCTTTTTCAGTCATTTTGGTGGGGTTTCTGACGATTCAAGTAAAAGCAGCAACACTGGCCCACACCAAATAGTGAAGCAGAGGCTCATCTTAGGCAAGGCAGATTTGGTAGGTTATAAAAGTTGCTCTAATATTAGTGCTCGTATTTTAGAGGTGCTCACAGCAAGTGCTTTGCTGTGGAGCTGGGGGCTGCGGGACACGTACCTGCTCCCTCTCTTGCACCTCTGTGAGCATAACGATGGTGTGGCACTTCCATTCCCACACCATCCGCCAGAAATCCTCCACTGTGTGTGGAAGCGGCCCCTGGGTGGCAATGAAGTAATCCTTCTGGCGATAGCCCTGCAGAGAAAGACCAGGATCTGCTCATGTCGTGATATGTGAGAGCGAGAGGGATGGGGACAATGCTCAGAGACACAATCGGTACTTAAACTGGTGCTTCCCATCAGCCATGCTGCTCAACAACGTGATGGTTACTAGAGATCTGGTGACACTGAGCCCACCCAAGTCTTGCTTATTGCCAGAAATAAAGGAGAAAAGACCTACATTCATGATCCTGAGTTGTGTTTTATGACTTTTTACACCCATGGCTGAAAGGATGCAGTGATAGGTAACCAAACAATTTCACAGTGAGATGCTAACCCTAACTATATAGCAGATACAATATATAACAGACTTATAAATATATATACATTAAGAGAACATTTAAATTACACAACCGTTTAAACTGAAAATGAGAACACCAGATAAGAAATGTATGGAAACTCTCATAAGCCAAACCCAAACAAAACAGGCCATGTTCTTCATAAGCTGATTGTGTCTCTTTCAAAAGACTTATCAGCAACAGCAAATATCTGACTTGCAGTTTAAATACCTGAGTTTTTTGATACATACGTCTATGAAGGAAGCATTGATGTAGTCCGTGTACTCCTGTCCTCTTTTCATGGACAGAATCACTCGATTGAAATCATCTGAAAGAAAAGAAAACAGTCTTACTATTGGTAACTGGGTACAGATCACTCCATGCTTACATCTGTGAAAGAACAAAACCAGTAACATCTGTGATCTCTCTCAAAGCTCTTATCCAGGATTTGGAGTCTGGAGCAGAAGGAAGGCACTGGTTTTGCTGCTGTTCCTTTTCCATCCATGCAGTATACGGCGAGGTCTGAAACTTTCAGTTTCAGGTGCAGACATTACAGTGCTGCTGCAGATTATGCATGGAACCACAGAGATACACCCTGGTTTAGAAGGTGAAGCTGCTGAAAAATCATAGAATCATAGAATAGTTAGGGTTGGAAAGGACCTCAAGATCATCAAGCTCCAACCCCCCTGCCATGGGCAGGGACACCTCGCTCTAAACCATATTACCCAAGGCCTCATCCAACCTGGCCTTGAACACTGCCAGGGACGGCGCATTCACAACCTCCCTGGACAACCCATTCCAGTGCCTCACCGCCCTAACAGGAAAGAATTTCCTCCTTATATGCAATCTAAATACCTGATGGTAACACATTTTATACTGACAGAGTAAAAACCAATTCATTTATTGCCTGCAGACACTTAATGAGCCCATTACACTTTGTAAGGAGACGACACTGTTTGTATCAGTATGTTCTTTACAAATTCAGAGCAGATACACCTGCAGAGAGAACAACAAACACAAGGGGATGGCAAATGGAAACACCCCCAAAAAGTGTATTCTAGCTAAAAATGAAGCAAACCCCAAACCCACCACTCTGCAAGGCACAAAAGGGTCTGAAAGTGTTTCAATTTTACAGGCAAAGCAGTTCAAACTTTTTCACATGAAGACATGGAGCTGTTGGAGTGAGTCCAGAGGAGGCCATGGAGATGCTGCGAGGGCTGGAGCAGCTCTGCTCTGGAGCCAGGCTGAGAGAGCTGGGCTGGGGCAGCCTGGAGAAGAGAAGGCTCCTGAAGGGGAGACCTTAGAGCAGCTCCAGTGCCTAAAGGGGCTGCAGGAAAGCTGGAGAGGGGCTTGGGACAAGGGACTGTAGGGACAGGCCAAGGGGAATGGCTTGAACCTGCTCGAGGGGAGACTGAGATGAGATTTCGATGATTCTATGACAAACAGCACTTTAGTGGATGGGCTTTAAGGTCCCTTCCAACCCAAATCAATTCTATGATTCCATGAGACTACATGCAGGGATTATTTGCAGGATTGCCATTTCCAAATCCAGGCAGGACCTCTACTTTGGAGTTATCCCAATAGAGCTGTGTTGTTGTTGACACAGAGGTACAGTGTGCACTTACAACAGCCTAAGGGTCATTGAGTATTTATAGCAGTTATTACTATGTATAAGAAGTCCATCTCTTACATGGGATAATCTGGATGACTCTGGCTTTCTTCATGTTTGCTGGAAGGTTGCCAGTTCTCATGTTTTCTTTCATTATCCGAACGTTTGTTAACTTCTGCAATAAAACACACAAATGAGGATGAGAACTCAACCTGGTTCTCACTCACCGGACCTGGTACTGAAGAGAGTTCCTAAGTGCCTTTATTAGGCACAGGAGTGCAACAGCATCAAAGCCAGCTGACTTGGCACAGACCCCACTTCACTGGCCCGTGTATAAAAATGAATTAAGAAAAACAGTCATGTAGTAGTCATGCATGTTTTTCATGCTGATATTTAAGAATGTGAACATCCTCCCAAGGCTTATCAATAAAGTTTAAAGGCTGTAAAATAACAGTGGGTTTTACCATTTTGGGTCAGTTTGGATCTTTTGGGGGGGGGGGGTTAAGGCACTTTTGGCCCACCCAAGTGTGGCTTTCAGAAGCCTATCTCTATTCCAGTAAATCTCTAGTACCAGCAACATGCTATTAAAAGAATCCCCTACCCTCTGAGAAAACACTTTTCAGCGACTCTGCAATACTGTGTCCAATACACTTTATGTCAGAGACTGTCACAGTGGTGACAACACAGCTCCACTCTTTTTGGGTGTAGTTCAGTGATCCTGGATCATCTTAAGTCCTTTTCAGAATACACACCAGAACTAAAGGTTGTTCTCTGCACTTTGATGCAGCCTTGCTGGCAGAGCGACAACAAAACCCAACTTAGGAATGCTGGAGAAAGCAGAACATTTGATGTTTTCATTTGAAATGAAACTTGTTGCTATGTCAGACTTATTTTCACCTTTATTTCTACATCATTGCCTTTTTGCAATCTCAGTTTCTAATTAGATTTATCCTTTAAAGGGAAGTGAGAACTCCAGTTACCACCCAGGTGTCATTTAACACTTCAGACCTATCTATAGAATAAACATTTTAGCATAGCATGAGCCCTTGAAAAGTTCTAACTACTTCCTCAGACAACAAAGTCCATTTTAAAACACTATCACAAACAGCCAGTGTGCTTGCTCTCTACGCTTGGGGTTTCTCCACTACACAGAAATGCTTATTTTCCTTCCCTTTCCTGACAGACATGGATATTCAGCCCAAGATGTGTAAATTCTTTGCAATTCTCTCTGCTGTCAGTCATCGCTGCGTTAACATTCCCCTTGAGATCCAAAAGAGGAGCCTGTAATCCAGCTCCCTCTGCCAGCATTATCTGATCTGGCACCTAGCACCAGACCCAAAGAATAATGCCATTTTTCTTTCATAAACAAACAGAAAACTATCGGAAAAGTGCCCTAAAACATGCAGCTTTGAATGAGCATTTGCAGAACAGGATGTTATTCAAGGCCCCATTCACTGGCTCCGCACACCCATTCACTACAAGCACAAAACAAACCAAGTCATTGCTTTGATGGACCTTTTCTCTTCAGGTTACACTACTGCTTCTGAGCTATCTTCTGGGCTTACATGTTTCCACACTTACTAATCCTGTGTCATACTTACTTTAAATTCTTCTTCTAGCCCTATCTTGACGAGGTTTGGTGCTGCATTTTGTGATGTTTGTAGATGTTTTTCTAAGGAGGACACATCTAGCTCTGTGTCACCGTAGAGGTAGTATTCAAGTAAGGCTTGATAAATGAAGGAGTATTGCATCTGCAATGAACAAAGAGGCAGGTAAGCGTATTGCAGAACAAGGAAGTGAAACTGTGAATTTTGGCACTTTCTCATCTATTTCCTTTGGTCTACAATCCACTAATTGCCAAAATATACCTTAAGCTAAGATATTCTTGTTACATTGCTCACATTCCCTAAAATTCCACTCTCATGCGTGGGGAAACCCGGATACCTGAAGATGATGTGCCTCATGGTGATCTTCACAGCCCTAACATGCCTTTATCTTCCTCCCCAGCCCCATCCTTCTACTAGGCTCTGTTCATTTCCCAGCTATCCAGGCGTGCAACAGAACAGGACATACTGGGGTGCATATCAGAGTGGAAGTACAGGAAGATATTCTTCTTTGAGCAGGAAAAGTTGTGATTCCAACTTATTAAAGCCCACTTACGTCAGTCTGAACCATCTGTGGCCGCTGGTTACGGATCCTTGACACAAACTCAAAGACATCGACCTTCTGCTCCGCATGCATCATGTCTATGATGGCATCGATAACGATGAATGTGCCCGTGCGGCCCACACCAGCGCTTGGGAAAGGAACAGAAACAACCATAAACCTCTATGGAATTATCTAGTCTGCAGGAATTGCTATAGTAATGACACAGGTAGAACTTACATTGTTTATACTGGACGGAAATGCTCACTGTGAGACATAAAACTTCATTATTTTAATAATGATATCAAGAAATAGGTTAAGTTCTTCATGTAAAAAGTCACCTCTTAACAGCTCAGAAAGGATGAAATCAGAATCATATTAGAAAAAAAAACTTTGGAAAAAAATCTGCTTGACCAGCAAAAATAATTCAGTCTAAGATGACATTTTAAACGTTTTTTTCTTAACTTTTAGCTGTTTTCTTGGTTGCTCTTTCACGCTACTAGTTACAAGTTACTTGTTACAAGTTCTACACTTCATCATCCCCAAATCCTTTCTTTTATATCCTTCAAGAGCCACGAGAGGGAGCACAATCATTATAAATCACACCAGTCCGGCCACTTTCAGCTCTTCCTTTCAGAGGAAAAGGGCATGGCATCCTGTGCTAGGCATTAATAACTCTCCTTTAACCTCCTGTTAGCTCACTTTGTATAGGAACAGACGCGATGTCCACAAACACCTTCTGAAACGCGACAGAAATCTCTCCCCCACCCCAACGTGCTCAAAGACAAACATCAATGTTAAGTTTCAACTAACACCAGTAAAAAATTATTGCATGCATAATACAACTTGGTTCATATGGACACACATCATTTAACAGCAAACACCATGCAAAACCTATGCCCCCAGGTCCTCCTGTTCCAGATGGAGAGGAGCAGACCCAATGAGTACCATGGACCTCCACCAAGACTTCACACGACTTCTTCACAGTCAACAACCCTGCTACAACACTCTGCCTCCAAATGCCTTTGTGTTTAATGACAGGTTTGGCAGGCTCCCCACTCTCCTTGCCCAGCCATCCCAATGCAGACACCTTCTCCCCAGCCCCTCTGTGGCCATGGACCATGGGCCACGGCAGCTCCCACCCCATGGTGGCCAAAGCTCCCTGCCCTCTCACTTCCTTTCATTCACGTTTGACCTCTGTCACCATGGATGAGTTCACCTCAAGTCCTAGTGTCATGACTCACAGTTTACAGAGACTTGCCTCTTCCTGATGTGTCCTGGAAGCCACCTCTCAGCATGGGGCACCCACTGCCAGCTCACACTTGCCCTTTGCTGTGAGCTTTTACACACTGAACCCCACACTCAGCTTCCTCATGTCTATTCCCTTTAAGTACACAATGCCTTTTCACATATCCTTGTTCCATCCCCGTACCTCTGCCCCAAGGTTACCTGACTTCTGAGCAGTGCTTAATTCAATCCTTGTATGTTCCTGGTGAAGCTGGTGATTTTGCCAACCTTGACATTTGCCTTGCAAGGCCCCTTTCATCCATCCTTAGCCTATGCTGGGGTATTCCATTACTCAGCTATTCCTCAGCAGAGCTCTCTGCTCACTCAAAAACTGTATTCCTGAAAACTTCTGGGAAAAACCAGGCAGCAAATCCTGGGTTTTCCCTCATTCTATCTGTTCTTTGCTTCTTCCAAACGCTAACTTAGTGTTTTATTAACTTCCAAAACACTCCGCTTGAGCAGTTTCTGGGCAATGTTTGTATAAAGGCTCACTAAAAGTGGATGGTTACTCACTCTCGATGAGTTTCCCTTTCCTCTTCTCAACAATTCAACAGTGTCACATCCTGAGCCATGACGGAAATGAAGTGTCACCTCTCTGGTCCTTTATTCCTCACACAGGCTGAAGCACTGCACCAGTGCCCAGCACTGACACAGATCGGTGCTGCTCTGACCCATTGGACAATTGTATTTCATTATATCTAAATCTCTGTAGATTTTTACTGAGTTTATTTTATATTTCCCTTTATTCTGTCTCTAATTCTGCTAATTAAGCTAAGTACAGAATTTCCTGCGGTGCAAAATAAAGCTCAAGCCCAATAAGAGTCTCCACAGAACATCCTGGTAAAAGGGTATAAAAACATTGTGGCTTTCTCAAAAGAAAGACTATGTGAGACTACTAAAATCTCCTTTTCCCATTGAATGCTTTTCTTTAAGCCTCTTACACATGACACCTGGGAGAGAAGATGAGATCTGGATGGCAATGGAGAACCACAAAAGCTGGCTTGGTCAGGACAAACATGCTCTTTTTCAGTAGCACACACTTCAACAACTCTTGGAGTGAATGTCTAAGTGTCTGATACAAGCAAGAGGAAAAGAGACAAAATACAGGAATCCACAACCATTCCCTTAAAACAGGACCCAGAAAGATGAAGCTTCTTTTTATTGTATGGTAACTGTTCCTGAAAAGACACTTCTTGCTCAGCTGTGAGCTTCCAGTTGCTATAGAGATTGCAATCAGTCTCTTAAAACTGATCTGGAGTTTCAGTTTGTGGTCTCTTTACCACAAGAATTCAAACAGGTTAGCACAAGGCTTTCACAGCAGGATGTTCATGTGTGTGTGACCGAACGAGTGGGAATATGCTCTGCATTGCTATGTAGGGCATTCTTAAAATTGCAGCATTGAAGCCTCTTAAATGCAAGTCTTTATTCCGAACTTTCTAGGCATTTAATGGATGATTTACATAGCAAACTGCAATTGTACTGTGGGAGAAGTGGGGGATGAATTCCCAGAGGAGCATTTAGTGGCAAAGGTCATGGAGTTGCATTACGAGTCTTGTTTTTCTGACAAAGGAGCACATTTAGACCAAACACTGGATATCACTCATGGATAAAAAAGAAACAAACAATGGAACAGCAACTTCTGACTGAGTGTTAAAGTGACAGCAAAGATCTCCTGGAATGGTTTTTACCCTGGGCTCTCAAAAAGCTCAGTATATTACATAATATATATATAATATTGTATTATTGTGCTTGCAGCCCAGAAAGCAACCGTATCCTGGGCTGCATCAAAAGGAGCGTGACCAGCAGGTCGAAGGAGGTGATCCTGCCCCTTTATTCTGCTTTCATGAGACCTCACTTGGAGCATTGTGTGCAGTTCTGGTGTCCTCAACATAAAAAGGACATGGAACTGTTGGAACAAGTCCAGAGGAGGCCATGAGGATGATCAGGGGACTGGAGCACCTCCTGTATGAAGATAGGCTGAGAAAGCTGGGGCTTTTCAGCCCGGAGAAGAGAAAGCTGCGTGGAGACCTCAGAGCAGCCTTCCAGTATCTGAAGGGGGCCTATAGGGATGCTGGGGAGGGACTCTTCATTAGGGACTGTAGTGACAGGACAAGGGGTAATGGGTTAAAACTGAAACAGGGGAAGTTTAGATTGGATATAAGGAGGAAGTTCTTTGCTGTTAGGGTGGTGAGGCACTGGAATGGGTTGCCCAAGGAGGTTGTGAATGTTCCATCCCTGGTGGTGTTCAAGGCCAGGTTGGACAAGGCCTTGGGTGCCATAGTTTAGAGTGAGGTGTCCGTGCCCATGGCAGGGGGTTGGAACTGGATGATCTTAAGGTCCTTTCCAACCCTAACTATTCTGTGATTCTATGATTCTATAGTGCCTTTTATATATATAAATATGTAAGCAAATACATATACATATATACATACACACACTCCATAGCCTATGAACAGATTACAATTTAGCCTTGATATTACACATGTAACCCCGGGCCAAGCTAAGAGAATGGCTTGAGGAGCACATACATACCTGCAGTGAACCACAATGGGTCCAGCATGGGCAGGATTCAACGTTTTGACCTTCTTCAGGAATTTCAGCATCCCAATAGGAGTGAAAGGCACCCCGAAATCAGGCCAGCTGGTGAAGTGAAGCTGTGTAACAAGCCTCGGAGCTTTACAACCATCATGAAGCTGCAGGAAACACACAGAGCTCAAGTTTGACACTTCATTTTTCATGCAAAGGTTTATATATAAACTGCTGTGGTTATTTGTGAACTAATTCCTGCAACATTTAGAGCCTGACTCAAGGAAGTTTACAGCGTATGTAAAATACAAACACAGAGTAAAATTACCATAGATCATTCAAGTCCAGGTTGGACACAGGGGCTTGGAGCAAGCTGCTCCAGTGGAAGGGGTCCCTGCCTGTGGCAGGGGTTGGGACCGGATGAGCTTTAAGGTCCCTTCAACCCAAACTATGGAAACCCTCCCAACCCAAACAACACTGCCAGGAATGGGGCAGCCACAGCTGCTCTGGGCACTCAAATTCCATGAGTTTCTTTTAAGCAAATACTTGATATCATAACAATTTGCTTTCATAATGAAAACGAATTCCCATTGGAAGCACTGCCCGTACTTACTGACTGAACACAGAACTTGCGGATGGTGTAGTCTACCAGAACTATGCAATCTTCCACGGACACACGGATATTTCCATAAGTCCAGCACCCCTGGTCAGGCCAATACTGATAACATTTTTCCTGTTCAAACACACAGTGAGTTTAATAATAAGTCTGCTTTCATTGTTGGTTACTCATAAGACAATGAAGATAGGATACGTAAGTACAAATACAGTTATGCAGAGTTTCTCATCTGGCACAACTCAACTTTAACACTTTGCTAGTGCTGTTGATGCTTAAATTTATGCAGAGAAGGTGAGAATAGCTTTGGAGCTCTTTTTTTAACCTAGCCAGACCTAAACAGCTTTTGGGTTGCGTGGTTTTTTTGTTAGGGGGTGCCTAACAATGGGGACTGCGATGTCTTGAGTCTAATTTCCAGGTGTGAAATTAAAGGCAGTCCCTATCTGGAACATCCAGATTTAATAGTGCTGGCTTCTCATACTGGGAATGGGCTCTACTTACACACTGCATTTGCCATCTGAGCTACATCAAGCTAACAGTAAATAGCTTCATCAGGTTAATAGTAGAACAAGGCAGAAGTACTACAGTAAAGAGGCAGACAAGGAAGGCCTGCCCTCATGACTGCGGTGAGCTGATGGTATCTGCACTGTATCTTTGTTACTGTAAAAAATGCACAAAACAGGTATGAAAACCGACTTTCACACCATGATCTGATTCTGCAGTGTCTCACAACTGCATCCTCTTCCATCTCCTCATCCATCTCCTTCCCAAGGCCAGCTACTGCTGCTTACCCCCATATTTCTTCACTGGCAGGAGCCCTTGAGGGGCAAGAGTTTCTGCTGACTTTAGATGTATTTCAAGTAAGGATGCAGCATGCTCAGTGTGCCAAAGTGTCCCACAGGGGAAAAGGAAATATAAGGGGATAATTACAGAGTATCTTTCATGTTTCTTGTTGTTCGTTTCCTTAATATTTTAACTTAGCTTCTCAAGTCTGTGAAGCAGGAATTGAGTTCAGTGTTTCACACTTGCCGTGTGTGTCTCAGTATTCAGCCAGTAGAAAGTCACACAATGCGAGCAGCAAGATGCTCATGAGGAGCAACGGGGGGGACAGGAAGGAACAACATTATTCTCATAAAGCAGCAGCTTCGGTTTGTTTTGTGCATGTGCCAGAAGGTATTTGAAATATAATACTGAGGAAAATGAACAGTTTTTATCTTCATTTCCAACCAAACCCACCCACAAGCACGGCCTTATGGTGCAATAAAAGCTCAGGCACGAGAATTTGCTTTTGGCTATGGGCTATGCAGGACAAAATTAGCTACTGGAATAGTTTCCTTCAGGTCAGTTTGTATGAATTTGTATTTTGGAAGTGAAAACTACATGTATGAGCAGAAACCCCCATGTGCTAACAGGGGCTGGAGAAGAAAGTAGTCAGAAATGCGACTGGCCAGATGCTGAGCAGCCACAACTGCTTTTGGAGCACACTCTCCTAGAGACATCTCACAGCCTATCAAAGCTCTTTACCTCTTTCCTTTCTTTCAGGTTGGTTAACATGACGATAACGGCCGACTTCTGCTCCCATATCATCCTCCAGAAATCATTAACTGTTTCCTGCTTTGGTCCTGCAGACAGAAGCAGAGACACTCAAACATGTTTGTAGCAGGTATCTTCTCTCTTGAAGCACACTCTATTAGGCAGACTATGGCAGGAGCATCATTTAGTATTTTTACATTGCAGTTCTCCCCCATACCAAGGTCCAACATTGCCTGAGAGCTGCTCATCCTGCTGTACAGGACAGGAACCATCCCTGGCAGTGTTCAAGGCCAGGCTGGATGGGGCTTAGAGCAACCTGCTCTAGTGGAAGGTGTCCCTACCCATGGCAGGGGTTGGGACTGGATGAGCTTTAAGACCAAACCAGTCCAGGATTCTATGATTTCAGAAGGGCAGGGGCAGCTACTGTTTTGTATTGCCTGGGATTCCCCAAATTTGTGACTAAACCAGCATAAGAACTCATGTGAAAATGCTCACTTCCACAGCAGGATTGCTGTAGGATCAGGAGACATCAAGTTTTAAGAGAAGTAAATCAGGAGTTGAGGGGGCAAGGTGAGCCTCTTCACTCAGAGTATCTGGAGGTCTAAATGCAGTGTGTTACCTCACACTCACTGCTATTTAGTTCCAAGGCTAACCTCTAAATCCCACCTCACACTAGGCCACAATCTGCAGCTGCAAATAACCTTGAAAACACATCTAAAATTGAATGCTCAGCCATAAGGTGTAGAGAATAGAGAAATGAGAATACATTACCTTGTGCTGCGATAAATTTATTCTTTTCTTTATAACCCTATAGAAAAAAAATCAGGAATGATCAGAAATGCCAATATATGCCAGCAGAAAAACACTTATTCTTTAGCATTGGGTCTGGTGCTGTTTAACATCTTTGTTTGTGACATGGCCAGGGAGATCACAGAATCCCAGAATCCCAAGGGTTGGAAGGGACCTCAAAAGATCATCTGGTCCAACCCCCCTGCAAGAGCAGGGTAACCTAGAGTACATCACACAGGAACTTGTCCAGGCGGGCCTTGAATATCTCCAATGTGGGAGACTCCACAACCCCCCTGGGCAACCTGTTCCAGTGCTCTGTCACTCTCACAGTAAAGAAGTTCTTCCTGATGTTAACGTGGAACCTCCTATGCTCCAGTTTACACCCATTGCCCCTTGTCCTAGCACTGGACATCACTGAAAAAAGCCTAGCTCCATCATCCTGACACTCACCCTTTACATATTTGTAACCATTGATGAGGTCACCCCTCAGTCTCCTCTTCTCCAAGCTGAAGAGACCCAGCTCCCTCAGCCTCTCCTCATAAGGGAGATGCTCCACTCCCTTAATCATCTTTGTGGCTCTGCCCTGGACTCTTTCAAGCAGTTCCCTGTCAACTTGAACTGAGGGGCCCAGAACTGGACACAATATTCCAGATGCGGCCTCACCAGGGCAGAGTAGAGGGGGAGGAGAACCTCTCTTGACCTACTAACCACCCCCCTTCTAATGCACCCTGGGATGCCATTGGCCTTCTTGGCCACAAGTTCCCAATGACACACAAGCTGTGTGGTGTGGTCAGCACGCTGGAGGGAAGGGATGGGATCCAGAGGGACCTGGACAGGTGGGACCAAGTGAACCTCATGGAGTTCAACAAGGCCAAGGGCAAGGTCCTGCCCCGGTGTTGGGGGAGACTGAACTTACATCTATATATGACGCATTAATGTAGTCTGAAGGTGGGACTCCGTCGACTTGGCTCAAAATCACTCTGGAATGGTCATCTGGAAGAAAACACATTGCAAACATGTTTGCATGTTTATCAATCTGAAATATGTTACTTGCCTGCAAGCAGGAAGCCAGGCTAAGCACACACTTCACCCAAAACAGCTCTCTCCTCTATTGCCCCTACTTCTCATCAATAAACTTTCTCCCTAAGCCCTTTTGTTATAAAAATTAATCTTAGCCATGATCTGATTTAATTATTTTATTACAGTTGATTAATATTGAGAAACTTTTACCCAACCCCTTCCTTAAAGCACTCAAGCAGTAAAACAAAGCCATAAAGCACTCTTATTATTTTAACAGTCAAAATGATTAAAGAGGGGGCTAGTCTATTCCCTTGTTTCTTCTTCTTTCCCACCATTACATTGACAGCAACATTTATTATACGTGGTACACTGGTCACAGGTGCATTGGTAACAATGATTCCTAAGTTCTTGACATGAATCATTCTCGTATTCTTTACACTTTGCACTGCTCTCAACCCGGAGGTCAGTGTCACTGCAGCTCTGCAGTACTGGAGGCCCAAACTTCTCCATGTTTGCTTGCCCCAAACTAAACTGAGATCCTAAAATATCCACTTGACACAGTGTATTCTGGTAGAACCCCATGAGTGCCTTATAGCACATCCCTGTACAACCACTATAGTAAAACCTAACAGGAGAAGATCAATACCAGAGACATGCCACAAAACACTGTATAAAGAACATCTGTGAACAGTGAAATTGCATTACTTCAACAGCAAATGAACACTACTACAGCCTGCACTGTGCCAGAGTTAACGCCTTGATTGATAAGGTAATGCTCTGATTGAAAAGGTTATGCTTTGATTGAAAAGGTAATGTCTTACATGGCAGGATGTTGGGATATCTGTTCTTCTCCCTATTTTCTTCCTTATTTGCCATTTCAAATGTCCCCTGCACATATCCAGATGTTAAGGACTAAAAAATAACACAAACAGAGAAGTCAATGGATTAGGAAACAGTTAACTCTTGACTGCACCATGGCTTAGTGACAATGTCCATCCACACACATTGCCCTGCATCCAACAGAATTAAACCACTGGCTTCAAACTTTCTTTGCAGCAACTTTCATTATAACAGGAAACTACACCCTGGCAGATTTCACTCCAGAGAACGAGTTCAGCAGTTCTGGAGACAGAAGCAATTCCCCCCCCCCCGAGATCAGAGCTATTTAGGAAACGAAGCTGCCATCTGCCGCGGTGATTCACAGCGCCATGACCCAGCGCGTGGATGTGATGCTCCGCCGCGCTCCGCTCCTACTTTTAGCCACAACAGTTGGTTCAACAACACAGAGTTGGATTGTTAATGGCTCGCTGTGAAGAACGTTCAGTCTCAAACACCGTGTGGAGGTCCACAGGTGAGGGCCCAACGCTGGTATAAAGGGAGGAAATAGAACATAAATCACAGTTCTTTCATGCGGGAAGTTGCTGTACGAGCACACATCAAATTCTGCAAGGGATCAGCAAGATCTGAAGCTGCAGATAAATTTAGTCAAGCTGAAAAAAAAACCCCAAACAACAATAAAACCCAACGCTCTTGCACAGCAATCAAATGGAAGGAAGAAACACAGAGGAAGAGGGTGATGGGTTTAAGCTAAAAGAGGGGAGATGCAGGCTGGATGTGAGGAAGAAATTCTTCACAGTGAGGGTGGTAAAACACTGGCATGGGTTACCCAGAGGTGGTGGATGCACCATCCCTGGAGACACTCAAGGCCAGGCTGGATGTGGTTCTGGGCAACCTGACCTAGTTGAAGATGACCCTGCTCATTACAGGGGGTTGGAACTGGATGATCTTTAAGGTCCCTTCCAACCTAAACTATTCTGTGATACCATGAAGGTGAAAACAAGGAAGTGCCCGAGCTGTGGAGAGAGCACTACTGAGCTCGGGCTGTAGCAGAGATCCTGGGGCAAGGGGAGAGTCAGATACACACCATTCATCAAGAGACATGGCACGAGGCTTCTGCCCTGTGCTTTTAGCTGCGCCCTTCCTGCAAACTGCGTGAACAAGAGCTGGATTTCATTAAGCTTCTTGTACTGAACTCCTAAATAACCCAGTGTCAGCATCTTGGATCCCACCAAGGTAAAACCCCAGTGGTCTGGCAATGCACAACCGCCTTCTCCTGCCCTTCTTCTACCTCCTACCGCCCAGTGTGAATCACACTGGGGAAGGGAAAACAATAGTCAGCGACTGCAAAGCAAGTGCCCTGCTTGCCTGGCAGAGAGCTGGGCTTGGAATTTCCCCTTAAAAGCAGCAACCCGTGTTGTAAGGGTGATATAACATGAAAGGGGGGGTTATGGGGAGGACTTCACTGCCACCAGAGAGGAAACAGCAACGTGCACCTGTGGGTTTGGGTTGTTAAATATCACTTTAACTTGTGAACGTAAGTAAAAGAAAGGGGAGGGAATGTTAAATAAAGAGTTGAAAATGAAAGCTGCTCTTAGCAAACTGCTTGATTCCTTATTTGAATGAAGCCCAGGGTTTTGCTAATTAAAAATACATTTACGATTTATAAGACACAGAAACTTAATTTACATTTTGCATAAACCAACATCATCAGCACTTCAAACACGAATCCTTTCGCTTTCAACATCCAGGCATCAAACTCCCAATAAAGAGCCAGATAAGTACTGCATCTTCATGTGGAAAACACATGAAAAGTAATTATCTCTAGCAAAATAATGGAAAACCTCTGCAATAAACAGGGGAGATTTAGGTTGGATATAAGGAGGAAGCTCTTCCCTGTGAGGGTGCTGAGGCGCTGGCACAGGGTGCCCAGAGAAGCTGTGGCTGCCCCATCCCTGGCAGTGCTCAAGGCCAGGTTGGACACAGGGGCTTGAAGCAAGCTGCTCCAGTGGAAGGGGTCCCTGCCTGTGGCAGGGGTTGGAGCTGGAGGAGCTTTAAAGGGCCCTTCCAACCAAACCAGGCTGGGATTCTATAAGGAACATTTCCTGCTACTTATTCCTGAAAAGCCCTGATGTCTTTCCTAGAAAACTCAGTATGGCATGACCTGGATTAGGTGGTGAGCCCCAGGCACACCCCGTTTGGCTGCTCCCACCCCTCTCCAGAACAGAGGATGTGATTTAATCAGGGATGCACTTCATTGTGTCCTCCCCATCACTCCAGGAATCACAAGGCACTGATGAGTCTTGGTGGTGCTGGGTCATCTGCTGCCACCACAGCCTTATCTGCTCCCACTTCACAGGAATCCTAAGATCTCCCTGAAGCTTCCTCCTCCTTCTCACAGAACAAGCCACAGGGACATCTCAATCAAGTCAAAAGGGTGATTTTAACAGCACTTCCTTACAGGAAGGTTTTTCAGACATTCACCTGAAAATCAAGGCAACAGGTAACCAACCACAAACATCCAACACCCAGCTCATCTTGCAGTACGGATGATAAATAGAAGTAAACAGGGGAAGTTTAGATTGGATATAAGGCAGAAGTTCTTTACTGTGAGGGTGGTGAGGCACTGGAATGGGTTGCCCAGGGAGGTTGTGAATGCTCCATCCCTGGCAGTGTTCAAGGGCAGGTGGGACAGAGCCTTGGGTGCCATGGTTTAGTGTGAGGTGTCCCTGCCCATGGCAGGGGGTTGGAACTGGATGATCTTAAGGTCCTTTGCAACCCTAACTATTCTGTGATTCTAAAGGCCCACACAGAAAGGAATGTGGGGGGTTTATGGTGATTTCTTTTTTCCCTGTGAAGAAAGAACACTATTTTCCCAATGCCCTGTGTTCACAAAGGAATCAAGTAATTAAAAATGAAGCAACTGAGAGCAGAAGGAGCATTTGTTATCTTGGTTAGTGCACAAGTGCAAGAAGTGCAATTTACTTCTTAAGGGTAATTTAGGCTTTATGGATAAAATCAGAAGTATTGAAGAACACCATTAGGCACATAGGGGAACTGTCCTCAAAGATCCTTTCTATCCGCTGCATGACTTCATCTATCAGCACTTGCTTTTTTCTCTTTTTCACCAAAAAAAAAACCACTTGGGAGCAGATTTCTTTGGCTGGTTCATGTGCCTGTCCAATACTGGCTCATGGACTCACCATTTTCAGTCTAAACCTGCTTGAAATTCCCAATGGAGACCCTGTATCTGCACTCCCAGATACGCCTGACCCCCGACATGTCAGATCAGGCTGTGTGAAGCAAAGACCACAATGGTCAGAGATCCCCCAGCGCATCCCCATCAGCTGAGCATCCCCAGCCTAGTGCTGCAGTCAGGGTCCACTCCCAACCAGCACCTTGAGCAAAGGGGTCAGCTTTGGACCCACCAAAAACCGGCAGGATTTGGCACCTATGGCTTCAAGGGGCAGACAGAGGTGTAACCTCAGCTGGTGGGAGGATGGAGCTGAGCTCTGGGGGATGCTCTGAAGGAGATGCTATCATGCAGGTGTTTGTGTTGATGGCTCTTGGTCTCTCAGCCCCTTTCCTCCCAGTGCTGCAGTAACTGACTTCTGTGTGCCATCTCTCTGGGTTTGTCCTACAATATCAATCACTCTGATTTTTCAACTGTCTTTCACCCTTTCTTCCTCTCTCAGGATTGAGCAAACAGCTCATACATCTACGCAAGCTGCCACAGGAGGCAGAGCAGGGACAGATGAACCCACATAAAGCATTGATCAGACTTTACCATCACTGCTTGGAGTACTTATTTATGGGGACTGGACCCCGAGTTTTCAGACACATTCACACACCCACAGCATGGTGCAGGAAATGATCCAAGCAAAGCAGATTTTGAATGCAAAACCAGATGATTTGTTTGGCTCCTACAGAGCGAATTAATCAGGAGAGTCAAAATTCACACACACATCTCCTCAAATGAGTTTTCACATTCATTTTGTCAACTCCGATAAGTATCTCCACAATCCCCCCTCTCTGATACAGCACTGAAATTGTGTGGTTTAAATATATCATCAACCAAATTGCAGATATAAATATGCTACCAATTAAGAAGGTGGCTTAACAGACTGTCTAATCAATGTGTGCATCGGCTCTTTGACAACTCCAGATTTGACATTTAAGCTACTTGCTTCTGCTGTGATGGGAAGCGAACAGAAATAATAAAAAGCATGGAAAGGGCCCCAAATGCAGACATGTGAGAAACACATCACGCTATCTGTCCACCAAAAGTGGCCCTGCAGCAGCTCACCACAGCCTTCAGTTACAACTCATTTATATGACCACACGCAACTAAAGCTCAGGGTATGGGCAGAAAATAAAACTTCTTTTCTGACCAAGGCAACATGTTAAAGGAAAAAACCTTAAAGTTGAGATGCTTCAGAGAAATGAATGTGTTAGGGCACAGGGTGCTGCACAGGGGGAAGTGATGGGATGGTAACAAAGAGCAAAAGGTCAAACTATCCCCCCCCAGTAAAGTCAAACCTCACTATGGCAATATTAAAGGCCACACTGTGTCTTCTCTAAGTACTTCCCATAGAGGTAGAATACTCCGAGTCCCAAAAAGCCCTACACCACCATAAAGAAAATCAATGCTAAGGACAGTCATGTTTTGGGTAATATGGTTTAGAGCTAGGTGTCCCTGCCCATGGCAGGGGGGTTGGAACTTGATGAGCTTAAGGTCCTTTCCAACTCTAACTATTCTATGATTCTATGATTTCATGTTCAATTCTCCTTTTCTCCAGCTTCAGGCAAACACTAACGATCTTCTTTCCATGTTAGCAAGTGTCAAGCAGTTTATATACTACCAGTTTGGCACCACCACATCATAAAGCAGTTAACATTATGGATTTTGTCCAGATAAAGGGCTACCCCACACCACAGAGCACATATGAAAGCCAAGACTTTGAGATGCCAGCATCACGCACCAAACACTCTTGAAAGAATTACTAGTATATGCTGATGTCTGGATTTCCCCCCCCTGTTCACTCCACAATGAGAACTTACATTGAATTCCTCCCGGAAGAGCTTCCCTTCATCCGCCGATCGCATCCGTATCTCCTCCTCAAGGTTTTCTACTGGGATAGGGAAATACTTCTTGGGGCCCGAGGGAGACCGACTGAGCAGCATGACCCGTTGCTGTTCTGTCAGTACAAGGAAAGCTCGTGTTAAAGGCATGTCCAGAGCAACAGATAATAAGTTATTTCCAACCTAATTACTTAGAAGATGCCAAAATGAACTTCCCACATGAGAATTCAACCAGTGTTAAAGCTTATTTAAATGACATAAGAAACCAAAACCACAGGCCAAGGAGCTGCTTTGAGAACATAATAAATTCAGGCAGAACCATATTGTTAAAATTAAGGATGTCTCTATTTACAATGGATTAAAAATATGACCAAGTTTTATTTAGAAAAGGACAAGGTTCCTTCTGCTGATGAAGACTGTGCCAACCCCAAGCTGCTCTGCTGTCTGCAGGGACAACTTTTAGCATCTACTATGAAAGGGATGCTGCTAGATTTCTCACTTGTGAAGGGGAAATAATAATAGCAGTAGTTGTAATAATACTGATAATAATAACAACAACAACATCATCATCTTCAACTTGGCAGCAAACTTGCCCCAAGATGAGCTGCTGCTCTCAGTTGCCCCAGCACAGTTTGGTATGGGGACTGCTGTGGATGCTTCTTGCCACCAAGACCTTGCCTCACATGGGGAAATAAAGCCCCAGGACACCTTCTCCTTCTGCTTTCACAGCCCTCAGGAGCACAATTGGCCACCTAGAAATTGCAGTGAGCATCCCCACAGGTGGCTGGAAGAAGTGGAGGGATTAAGCCCACCGTACGGTGAAGGTAAGTTTAATCTACAACTGAAGGCACAGAGAAAGGAAGACCATTTCCTACATGCTGACAATGACAAGGTGACTTCCAGCAGCCATGCTTGCAAACTACGACTTGGTGGTTCCTCCACTAACCACCCATCACCAAAGGGCATTATCTGGTGCCAGGGCACCACGGGGATGTCCAAACCGCGCTCGCCAGGGCTCCTGAGCACAACCACCGACCCAACAGGAAGCCAATGGGTGTATTTAGAGGTTTGATCTATGGCTGCCACCGTGTTTGTTAACCTGCTCTTCAGTTCACGTGCAGCAGCGTGGAACTGGCACAAAGCACAGAGGGAACTCTTTATCATGAACTCGGTTTTAATCTTTGTCACAGCTAACACAGTTTGTAAGCAAGAACCCAACAGCCCCTCCACGTTGCCTAGGTTTGAACTGAGGCTGGGTTAGAGCCCACCCAAAGGGCTCCCTGCTCACAGAACCAAATCCAGCACATTAAAAAAACCACTGGAAAACATTTTCAGCTCCTGAGAGTGTTTTCTTGTAGTGCTGCTGGCTTCAAATGCTGCCCAGTCTTACCCTTTTCCTTCTTTCTCTTTACATTCAGGAACCAGCAAGTAATTTCACAAGGAGCTAAGGACCCTTTTCCCCCTCATTTTAAGAAGAAATGCTGAAATTTGCTTCCCTAAATAAAAAGATCACAATGCCAGAAACCTGGATCTCAGCTGGCATCCCAATAAAACATACAGAAAGGGCATGAGAAACATTTACAAAGAAATAGACACTTAAAGTGAAAAATCTTTGAAACCAGAAACTGTAAATTAAGGTTATATAATGGACAGACTTAAACGTACTTAAAATACTCTAATTTTTTAGTGTCTTCTCTTTAATAACAACCCTTATATTATTAATAAAAAGCAAACATAACTGAATAACTGAATCCCTAATTAATCACAGAATCCCAGACTGGTTTGTGTTGGAAGGGAGCTTAAAGTTCATCCAGTTCCAGCCCCTTGCCATGGGCACGGACACCTTCCACTAGAGCAGGTTCACTCAAATTGGCAAACCAGCCCGTACACAACCAAAATTCCCAGTGAGAAGGAAAGCAAATCTCTCTGTACCTTGTTCTTCTAAGATCCCATTGGGCATCTTTTTGTCCCCGGAGTTCACAACAGCTTTCCTGTGTCTTCTGAACCTGAAATACACGCAGCCATTAATCTGAGTAACTCTGTTGAAAGGCAATGAGTGTTCTCCTAAACCACGGTTCACCAACCATGTAATTCTGGAGAAGCTCTTTCTGTTCATCTTCACAGTGAGAGCCTCCCCTGTGCTGTGATGGAGGCTCCTGCCTCACCATAAGCACGCCTTTCATTTCCTTGTTAGATCATATCGAAACAAGGCTGAGCTACTTCTGCCAGCGAGCTCCACACACACCTACCTGAAAAAGTACCCAGCCAACAGGATGAAAATGATGAAGACCAGGAGCAGGATCAGCATTGAAGTGAGCAGGTCCTTGTGTAAATGGTTCCCCTCTGTAGAGTCTGTGGATCGAACATAGGGAACATTACAGACACAGACTGCCTGAGCTGGCACAGGAACTGTGCCAAAATACTGTGGTCCTGTGCAATGAGCTGCTTGTACTTCCTAAAAGCATCATTATTTGTTTAATATATGCAAAGCTGAAACTGAAGGCTTAATTCTTTCATTGCTTTCTTTCCCCCACTTCAAAAGCAACAACTAAACCACCTGATGCTGACAAGATCAAGGATGGTTTGGAATCCCTATAGGGATGCTGGGGAAGGACTCTTCATTAGGGACTGTAGTGACAGGACAAGGGGTGATGGGTTCAAACTGAAACAGGGGAAGTTTAGATTGGATATAAGGAGGAAATTCTTTCCTGTTAGGGTGCTGAGGCACTGGAATGGGTTGCCCAGGGAGGTTGTGAATGCTCCATCCCTGGTGGTGTTCAAGGCCAGGTTGGACAGAGCCTTGGGTGCCATGGTTTAGTGTGAGGTGTCCCTGCCCATGGTAGGGGGGTTGGAACTGGATGATCTTAAGGTCCTTTTCAACCCTAACTATTCTATGATTCTATGACTGGTTAAGCAAAGATTTTACTTGTAATTAGAGTAAGTTTAATGGGTACAAGATACCAAGCTATATTTGAAGCCCATTCAGGACATTTCTAAGCACATCAGATGTTTCTCAGCCAGCCAGACATAACCAAGAACGCCACCCTTTGTATAGATTATACTGAATCCAGAGATACAACATGTGTTTTAAACACATCTCATTTACCAGGCCAGAACACTGCTGCTGGTGTACTAGGCTGTAAAGCACATGGTGAGCATGGTCGAAGGGGAAGGCAGGAGGGGAAGGCAGGAGGGGACAGTTCAAACTGTCTTCTATGACTTATAATGTAATATCATATCATATCATATAATCATAGAATGGTTAGAGTTAGAAAGGACCTTAAGATCACCCAGTTCAACCCCCCTGCCATGGGCAGGGACACCTCACACTAAACCATGGCACCCAAGGCTTCGTCCAACCTGGCCTTGAACACTGCCAGGGATGGAGCATAATATAATATATTATACATTTTATATATATTATATAACATAATACTACACTATCATATCACATTACATTAAAAATTAAGAACCCGTAGGAATTATGAAACTTTTAACAAATACTTAGAATGAAGATTAAAAAAGTATATCTTTGTTGTATCTACTATATATTGCAAGTCTCATCCTTCCATTAATAGTGGGTTTATGTATGTGACCCTTTACATCTGAGTTTCATTATGCTTCTATAACTTTTTCATTCTACTAAACAATTCAATATATAACACATTAAAATCATTAATAGCCCAGCATGTTTTATTTAAGAAAGCAGAACCTTAGCTTCCAGCAAGCAAAACACAGCCCTGCTCCCTGTTTTTCATAGGCTCATGGAACGGTTTGTGTTTAAAGGGACCTTAAGGCTCATCCAGTTCCAACCCCTGCCACAGGCAGAAAAGGCTTTTTTGAATCACAAAATCAAATAGATTGGAAAAGAGCTTTCAGATCAACTCCAACCATGACCCCAGGAATGAAGATCTTGAAGAGATCTTGCCACAAGCCTCAACAAGCACAAGATTACAGTAAATATATAGGAGTACCTAACACCTGAAATACTATAGAAAGGAGCACATATGGATATGAGTGTTGGGTTGTATCTTGTGAGCAGCTGGAAACCCTCTGGATGCTCAAACAACATATTTCAAGGCCAGGTTGGACGAGGCCTTGGGTGAGATGGTTTAGTGCGAGGTGCCCCTGCCCATGGCAGGGGGGTTGGAACTTGATGATCTTAAGGTCCTTTCCAACCCTAACTATTCTATGATTCTGTGATTCTATATTTGGGCACAGAAAAACTCCCTTTACAGAGGCATAGATGCACTAAGGGCATACAAGGAAAGAAGGTATCTCAAGTCAACATAATAGTACAAAGACAGGGAAGGGAATAAAATGCATGAAACCTGACATTTAAGTGGGATATAAAGATGGAAGTGACAGGCATGACAAAACTGTAATCAGAAACCATCACTTGAGAGGGTTTCAGAAAATCACTGTCAGTGTGTGGATGAACATGCATCACCAGGAACAGCTTAACAGCGTCTGGGTGGTGTTTAGCAGTAACACACTCTCTATAGAAACCAAGGGCTGGCAAACAAACAAGCAAACTAGATATTTTTGCCTCTCATAAGCAAAAAGGAGCCACTTTAGCCCACTTTAAGTTTAGGTATTTCCAATTCGGTATGTTGGGATCCGCCTTGGGGTTTTGTGTTAGAGCCATCATTGGCTCTGTGTCAAGACCCATGACACAACTGGGAAAAAACAACAACTTTGAGTCATGAGGGAACTAAAATTTCCCTCTGCTCATTACACAATACAAAAATCACCCATCTCTTCCTTTCAGAACGGATGTACTCCACATCACACTTTGGAGATGGCTCTGGAAAACTGATTCCCAAACACAGAAGATCTCAATCCAACCCAGAAGTTGTTCAAGCTGCTGCCTCCATTTCCTTAGCAAAGCACAGAGCACCCCTGCAAAGACTAATGCATCAAGATCTCACCTCTCCTCCTACCATTTCACAAGGAAATTAGGTCAAAACCCACAAACGGCCCCGTCTTCCTCATACACGGGCACATCTGTTTTCAAAGCCTTGCAGTGGCACACCAATGTGTGGAAGCGTGGTTGGCAGGCAAGGGTTACGTTCCCATGGCTGAACTTGGCCAGGGACCAGTTTTGTAAAAGTCAGTGAGAAACCCAGCTCGGTAAAAAACACCAGCTGTGCAGGGGGGTAAAACTGACCTTGTAGTTAACGAGCATCTTGAAGGGAGGAATAAGGAGGTTAGAAAACGGGATGTGCCTGTATTGGTACCTTGCTTATTACAATGTTTGCAAAGCTTACTTAGTAGATCACTTAGCAAAATTTTCCTTGTGTGACAGGAAGCATCCTGGGTTGTGCAAAAGAAAAACGGGGGAATTGTGGAGCAATGGTTATTCTCACGAGGGCCTGCACAACCCAGGATTAGAGCCGAGTGAGACAGCCTTGAACTCTCTCTGACTCAGCTGAGCCGGGGAGGCCTGGAGTCGAAGAAATGTAAGCAGAACGCTGAAACAGGAGCTTGCTGGTCACAAGGAATGCACCGCTTATCACAAGGCACGCACCCTGCTGCTGCAGAGATATGTGTGTAAAACTTAGCTTAGCCAATAGCAATGTATAGACAGGCGTGTGGACAGGTTTATGTAGCCAATGAAAGATGTACAGCTGTCACGTAAACTATCACCAATGGTATAAATTAGGTGAGCCTGTGCAATAAATGGAACAAGAAGCGTAACTCATATTGGGATTGTCTTCTTGATTCGGGTCGCTCCTCCGACACCAATGGCTTCACCTCTGCAGAGCCCGGGTGGAAGGCACGGGGTGGTTTTCAACAGTTTCATTTATTAACTCTATTTCCTCCTATAGCTGCATTGGTAATTTTATAGATGTAGCCCTCCGAAATGTAAGGAAGGTTACAACTGGGCTTAGGCCATTGCACACTGAGGGGCTGAAAGATCTTTGGCCAACACAACTACATATAACATGGGATTTCTGAGGGGAAACTGAAAGACAGACCTGAAACAGTGCTGCTTCAAAAACTGACAACTGAAACATAGGAGTAAATGCATGCAAAAGAGGTAGACGCCCTCTAAAGCATGTCTCCACCATAGCTACTACCAGGGAACTATTTCCACTGCTTCAACACAGAGCGTGCTGTGGCCCAAAACCACACCAAAATGATCATCTTGAGGGTATTTTTCAGTATTACAATGAAACAGTGACTTTTGCCTTGACAAGAGAGGAGGATTATCACCAAGAGGATGGTGTAAACCCCTTGTGCTTCCCCTGCCACCCACTGAGGCTGACTCATGGGGCTCTTCCTGGCTTCATTCCCTCTGCTGCTGGCCCAGCCACTGAATAGCTCTTTCTGGAAACATCACCATTTCCCTCAGGGCTGTGATGTTCCCACTTTCCAAATGTGTCAAAAACAAAAGCACTCACAAGAAAACAGGGAACTGACAGCAGTGTATGCACATCAAGTAACTGCCCTGTCACCCTGCCTCCTCATGCTCCCCCAGACTGGGATTCTCTTCATCCCTGGATCACTTCCTTTGCAAGCAGGAACTGAATGGTAAATTGCCCTTGAATATAAGTGTGTTTAAAACACTTTTTCCCCTCTCCACAAAACAAATGAAGAAGGCAAGGTGAGTGGTTTGCCCTAGACAACAAGCCAGGTACCAGGAACTATTGCAGTGATTGACAAAGAACAGACAAGATATAGTTTATCTGAGCACAGGAGAAATCCCACAACAGCAGGCTTAGAGCAACCTTGTCTAATGGAAGGTGTCCCAGCCCATGGCAGGGGGTTGGAACTCGATGAGCTTAAGGTCCTTTCCAACCCTAACCTATGATTCTATGATTATAACTAAGCCTCTTGCACATCAGTGTGTGAATTCTGCACACTGAAAACCCACAGGTTAACTCAATCAAAGCAGAACTCTCCTCCTCTCTCAGTTTTCATCAAGCCACTCTGCCTCTTTGAGGGCTGGCTGCAATTGTGCTGTAGTCACTGGGCAGAAGTCCCCCCATGCCAATGGGGATATCACCAAGTCCAGACTATGCCATCTCATTCTATCTTTGGAAGAGAAAACCCCAACCCTGCAGAGAATCACTGTGACTTGACTGGGGAGAGGAAGCAGATATCAGCAGATACAGCTGATAACCAGGAGATGGGTTTGGTATGGATGAAAAACAAACCCAAGTTACAAAAATAAGTCAATAAAGGAAGGGCAAAAGAAAAAGACAGGGAAGAAGACCCAGTGGTGCCTCAATTCCTACATGAAAGAAGCACCACAAATCCAGCATGAAAATCTCCATCTCTGAGCCCTGTTCTGGCTATTGTCTAGCAAAACTCTATTATTTCTATGCACTGCTTGAGCTGGCTTCAAAGACACCCACTAACCTCTTGAAACTATCAGAAATAAGGGCCTCAAAAGCTGCACCATTCAATGCCTTTCAACCTCCCACCCATCCATCTGATGGATTCATCACCTCTGTGTGTTAATGCATTGGCAGTGGAAAGAAACTGTAAAGTTGGGCATGAAACCCATGAAATATTCATGGAGTAAATAGTAAAAGGAATTGAAACATTTGGAAAGGACTGAAAAGCTTTAGTACTGCAGCTCCCAGGCTGCTTCCACATTTAAACCACACAACAAGTGAAAACACAAGAGGAAGCAAAAGAATCCTGACTATGATTCATATTGGATAACTGATAAATATTAGCAACCAGGAATCACTTGAATGCTATCGTCAGCATCACGTATAAATAGTCCATTGCACATATTCTATAGCATAAAGGTTTACCTGCTTGAAATATACATTTATTCAAATCCAAGTAAGTAAATCCTGGCTTGCACTTGCTTAATACAGTTGAACACTCTGAGTAAAAGGCAGTGCAATAAACCCCAGAATATTCTGATTTTGTGAAAGGGAAATTTTGTGGTAGCAATTTCATGGTACTCTTGTGGGGAGCAAAATGGAGCTGCAAAACAGAGCCATACAGACTGGCTACCCATGTTTAAAGTAGGAACAAACACAACATGTTCATTCAACAGAGGTTTCAAAAATCAAGTCAGCTGAACTAATGACATGCAATACAATATAATGATTCCTTTCAGAATCAAAAGCATCTTATCTTTTTGGATCATTCATCAAATTAGCACACAAAAGGAAAGCTAGATTATACTCTTTAGTAGCCCCCAGTTCTTTCCATATTTGTTTGAATGAAGTTTTCCTGATACATCAAAAATCTTTATTTTTGTATTAAAAAACCATTGTATTAGCTATCAGTATATTAGATCAAATGGTTATCAAATGAATTAGGTGATCCTATTACCTTGGAACTGCCTATACACCAGTATATTTTCAGTGTGCACACACTTATCTATCAGCCAAAACTCATCTTTGCTTCTCACTGCAAAGTAATGAAGGCTTTGATATTTAAGAAAAAAGCAGTTTAGTCATACTCATCGTTCCTAAGTCGTACCACAGAAATGGAATTTTAATTAAAACACATATAAGATTACTTTTATCCATATTATCACACTTAAATCCAGCACAATTTTTAATTCAGCTTTGAAGGTGAACTGCATCTATGAACATGCATCTACAGAGAAACTCCCTTTTTACTGATTTTGGGAAGTGATACCACTAATAAGTTACTTCCCTTTCCCAATTCCTGCATTCTTACATATTCAGACCAATCCCATTAACTTCTTCTGTGGCTCCCCCAGGAGCCTGCCAAGAAGCAGGGCACCGACAACTACTTGATAATATTTCATCAGAGCCATTTAATAGCAACTTTATCCTCAGCTGAATTTTCATGTATATTAGCAATTTATTTCTTTTGATAGCCCTGAGCAAAACAACACAAAGACTGCTGCTGCTGATGGCAGAGCCCTTGCCCCCTGCTAAGACTCCACTTCCCCTGCAGAGGTCTGTTACCAGGCAGAGCAGCGCTCAGCTGCACCTCCACTATCCCCCAGCCTCAGATTTTAGTGAAATCATAGAATCCTGCAATGGTTTGTGTTGGAAGGGACCTTAAACCCAGCTCCAACCCCTGCCACGGGCAGGGAGAGCTTCCAGTGAGCAGGTTTCTCCAAGCCCCTGTGTCCAACCTGGCCTTGAACACTCGCAGGGCTCTCCTTCCATGTGGGTCTGAAGCTCACAGTAAGATTCAAGCCAAACCAACAAACCCACCCACAAAACCACCCTGCTATAAAGCCTGTGTGTTGACAGCCATCACCTGAGAACTTATGACTTCATTACACTGTTTATATGGAACATCATCATCTTTATGTCCCTTAAACACAACCCAGGAATCAGCCATCCTTTTGGAAACCTCCCTCTGATGCAAGCACGGCACCACACACTGCTACCACCTAAACAGTACAGGGATACTGAAGGTAGCTAGCTAGGATTATGAAAGGTAAGGACTATAGCAAGTAAAATACATCACAGAACATAACAGCAGAATCAATATCTTAAACAAATAAAAAATGAAGCCTTATTTGACTTGAACGCACCCCTCTCCAGGACTGTAATAAGTTAGGATGTAGTTGTAGGAGGGCTTGAAGCGAGAGGAAGAAATTCCGAACAATAGAAATGAGGGTGAATAAGAGATGCTGTGGTGGACCAGTGAGAAGAAGACTGCTCTCAGGTCTTTGAAAAAGGCTTTGCCGTTTTTCACCTGACCTGATCTTAGGCACTATTACCCATCTCCTTGAGTCTTGCCTTAGGTGGTATCATTAGAAAACATAGAACATGCTTAAAGAGTTTAGTTCCTCATGATATGTTAATCCTGGTCTGTAGCTGATAATTTCTTTATTTCATATTATTTGTGTCCAGGTCCCATACATCACATTGAGATCCACAGTGACAGCTCCTGGGCCACGCAGACCTTGCAGCCCAGGCAGAGGGGACATCCTGTGCTGCTGTACCTCTCCCAAAGATATCCATGGCATTTCCCATAGATGGGAAAGGGAAAGTAAAGCACAGAGCACCCGTCATACGGAGTTCAAACACAGAGGTCACCTGGCAAGAACAGAAGCACATGAGCAGGGTCAAAGTCCTGGAAAAGCATGCAGGGCTCTGTCACCAGTGGGACCTCACCACAAGTTCCTTCCCACATCCACTCCCATCCCGGCAGATCAAGTGACGTCCTTACTTGTTGTTGTTGTTGTTGGTTTTGGCAACTCCGTTCCATTGGGTGGTAAAGCTTGTGCAAACAGAAAGCTAACACAGAGCAGCAGGAGCGAGCAGGAATGTTCCATCCTGGACCTAGGAGAAAGCGAAAGGAAAAGAGGAATGTTCAGGTCAAATTGCTACTACGCTCTTTCCTCACATCACAACAAAGCTAAATGAAAAAGCAGCGTTTACTTTCGACGAGGAAAGGGTTAAAGCCTGGTTTACGCTCTCCCATTGCTTTATCTCTTAACTTTCAGTTTTGATGTGGAAGGAAAAGGAAAATACCAGTTGCATGCGCTAAGAATTCATTAAGAACGTTTTAAATCCAGGAACAGGAAGGCAACGCTCAGTTCAAAAACAACAGCAGAAATCGGGCCAAAAAAGCTACTCTACATCTATTAAACACATGAGGACACCGAGGCAAGGAGCCTGGAAGTCGCTTCCATAGATAAGGAGAAAACTCCTAGAGTATCACCAGCCAGAACACAGAGAATAAATGTAAACCTTGGGAATAAATGCAAAATTAACGTATTTTTGGTAGTTCCTGCTGTAATTAATAGATTATACCTGGTGCAAAGAGCAGGAGCAGGAGCAGTGTGGCTGCAGGGAGGGGAAAGGAGCCCAAAATCCCAGACCCTGCCTTAAGCGTCTATGGGACTTGGCTCTACATGACCAATCCTACTACAGCATGTAACTTGGACCAACAATGCTGGCATCTCAGGTGCTGGGAGAGTGAAACAAAGGGGAAAAGCCTTGACCACTGAGCAGACCAGCAACAACCACGAAGTTTAAAGCACCTGTAACAAGCACGTTTCAGAGTTTCCTTATCCTTGACCTACAGACAGACAGATGATGGATGCTTCACAGGTACACTCCTTGGGAGAACATATTTACCACAACTGTGAGTCTGAGAGCTATAAAACACTGCAGCAAAGCCTTCCAAACACAAAGAATTGCAGGTTTTGTGAGACTGGAGGATAATTTATATTATTTATATAGAAATAATGTAGAGAAGATTAGAGACAAAGTGTGATGAGAATGTGCTGCTGCTTTTAAGACTATAAAGAAGTTCAGGGCAATTAATAGCTGTAGATCAATATGCTGGTCTAGAAATACTCTTGTCCCTCTAAATAGAGGCTGTTGTAGAAAAAAATATATGTTGTTATTAATGCACCGTACATTTCTCCAGTCCCTAATGAACATATTAATGACAAGAGACTGCCAATAGCTCTTCTTGCTCGATTTAAATATACTTTCTTTGGCATAACACACAAACATCACGTTCTGTATCTCGCAAATGGCAGAACTCATCCAGATGGTGGCTCTACATCCATTGCTAAAATTATAACCATCGGAATACTGCACCACAAAGCTCCCCCGTGCTTCAGTTTAATATGTTTAATGCTACAGTCTCCACAGGCTATCAAATAGTGCTGCCTAACTACAGACACACCAAAAAAAACCCTAGGAACTTGGCAGTCATTAGAATAACAATTGGAACCATTAGGAAATCCTTTCTTTCAATGTAACATGGGATAATTAGTTAGGAAGCTCTTCCCTGCGAGGGTGCTGAGGCGCTGGCACAGGGTGCCCAGAGAAGCTGTGGCTGCCCCATCCCTGGCAGTGCTCAAGGCCAGGTTGGACACAGGGGCTTGGAGCAAGCTGCTCCAGTGGAAGGGGTCCCTGCCCGTGACAGGGGTTGGAGCTGGAGGAGCTTTAAGGTTCCTTCCAACCCAAACCAGGCTGGGATTCTGTGATAACCCCACAGAAATAATCCCTGGATAACAAATGCATGAAAAACATTCCAAACAACGCTTTTCACATCACCTTTTCACCACTGGCACGTGCCTTACCCAGAAGTGAACCATGTAAAACCACTGTAAGCTTTGCCATATAAATACATTTATATATATGTGTGTAGTTAGGTACTTTGAACACAGGACCACAATGACATAATTCTTTGAACCGAAACACCACCCTACAATAGACACAGTGGCATTTTCCATCCTCAAGAAATGACAATTCCACGATAGTCCGTTAGAAACAACAATAAGAAAGGTAAAACACATAATAACGACAACTCTCCAGAGGGAACAGGCAGGTAGCAAAGCACTGCAGAACAAGGAAGGACAACTGTGTACTACAAAAGATGCCTCTTGTAGATAAAATCAGAAAGCAAAAGATCCAGGTGCAGACAGACACTGTCCTTATTAACACTGCTTTGCTGGAAGGCAACTCCTGCCCTGCTTGGGAAAAGAAATAGGAACTGCTTTCATAACCCTATGGGGATACAATGCACTTTTATCTACTCACATCCTACTACCTCCAGCCTGTATTTCCTGGATATGTGTGGGCAAATGGCTCAGGCACCTAAAGTTTAACTTTATGGACAAGTGAAGTCCATGTAGGGAAGGATTCCTGGCTATTTCTGATTCTCTGAAGCCTTGAAAAGGTGTCAGATTCCTGTGACTATCACAGCTTTAGAAGTCTGCATTGCTATAGACAAATGCTTCTGTGGCCAACAGAGGACTTGATGCCACGGCCGGACCCAAAATAATCACTGTAGAATTGCACAGTTCACTCAAATCCTGCCAAGGATTCACTTGAAATCTGATTGTGGACCAAGGAGATCAGCTCAGGAATCAGGGGAGGCCGTGAAGATGCTGCACAGCTCTTCCCATCATCGAGATCGCTGCCACCGCTTCTCGCACAGCCCATGGAGATGCCACAGGGAATGGTCCAGCTTCCCAAATCAGCTTTATTTTCAGGGATTACTGGATTACTACACACGCTTAATGCCTATTTTGGCTGCAGAACTGGGTCCTCACCTGATCTGACAGCTCAAGAAGAAAACCTGGGATTTAAGGAAATACACTAAACCCTTTGCCATGCTATGTTGGCATTGCTACAGCTGCCTGATGTTTTCCTGTGGAGCCTAAGGCATAAGCTGCTTCAGAGCTGGTTCAATAAATACCCATTCCCTGCATCCTCCTAAACAATAAATACAAACCAACAAAACACCCCATCTAATACAGAGGACAGTGGAGAGACGTTTGGGGTTTTTCTCCCCTAGGTGTTGGTATGATGCAGCTCAGGCCTGCCCCACAGTTTTAGTGTCCAAATATAAAATATATAAAAATAAACTAAGAAAATGGAAGGGGCGAAAGCCACCCCATCTCCTTGCTCTGACTTTTCTCCTTTGGCTCTTCCTGCTTTCACCCATCACTCCCCAAACACAGTTGGTCCTGCTGGAGTCTCAAGCCCAAGTGCCTGTGTTCCCGTGGATGGTCCCTACCCAGAGCAGAGAACCCAGCACAGCAGCATTCCCCCTGAATGGGGACCCTGGGCACTGGGAACATCGCTCTGGTCAGGCCAGCATCTCACTTGCTCTTTGATGAGGCTCTGGCATTCCCACCCCATCCCTGCCAACCCACGGCAGCATGCCAGGCAGCACTGAGTTAAACTGGAGTAGCTCTTGCATGACTTGGGTACTGATTGGGACTCATTGCACCATTATGTCATGGCATGAGGTGGGGTAAGACAGTGTTACTGAAGCTTTTCAAACGAAATTATTCATCTGAACTATGTCTTTACAAAATAACTGGGAAAAGAAACACTCCTTCCCATTCTGAAGGAACAGGGGGAAAGCAGGAACTTGCATGAAGATGAATTCAAGATCCATCACTTTGAGATAACTTGAATAAACAGCAGAGGGTAGCACTGAGCCCCAGCAAAGCCCTCTGATGATAAGGGCTCACCACCACCATCCACATCTCAGCTGGTGGGCATCAAAGCCTGTGTGGCAGCAGGACCTCAGGCTCCTGTGGGCAGCTCAGCGGGCCAGCACAACCCACCACCCCATGGGAAATCACTTCGAAAGAGTTTTTCCATATTCCTCTTGTTTTCATTAACCACTCAGTCACAGAATCCTTCAATGGTCTGGGTTGGAAGGGACCCTAAATCTCATCCAGCTCCAACCCCTGCCACAGGCAGGGACCCCTTCCACTGGAGCAGCTTGCTCCAAGCCCCTGTGTCCAGCCTGGCCTTGAACACTGCCAGGGATGGGGCAATGATGATTCGTTATCTGGAATCACACACCAAGCCCCAGATCAAATGCCCAGAGGTTTGCTAAAAGTCCCATGTTTTGACCTGCTTTAAAATTTAGGAGCTTTACAAAAAATGAATATATCCAGTATCTTCCCCTAGTCTTTTCCCGAATCCCTGTAATTCTGACTTAGCATGTCCTAAAAGGCAGAGGTAAAAAAGAAAAGGAATGGAGATATTTGTTGGGAAGTTTGAGTATGTACCCATACAGCCCAGCACGCAGCAAGGAACTTCTCTGCTTGGGAAATATTCCTTGGAATTCATCGGCACGTTCCTCAGAGTTACATTAGAAAACACCCAGTGATGAAAAGTCACATTTCAGCATCAAAACGTAGTTTTAATGTGACCGTCAGCAGCACATTCATTGTTGCGGTTTCCTTGTACATATAAAGCCAAGCTTGTTTCTGACCTCTTCAGGAAGAGCACGAGAACCTAAGGGATAAACATCTAATCCTAAAGTCATGCCTAATACTGAACCGCTCACAAAGTTGTATCTGACAACAATTCCTTGTATATCCTACACAAACACCTGCAAGAAAGAGCACTTAAAGGAGATGGAAATTAGATTAAACAATACAAATCAGAATAATCACGCATAAGAGACGAAGTGAGGCAAAGCATCAATTAACTGAATAAAATGAACTTCCATTTAGAGTAATCAAGCTTGACAGACTGCCTACGTGCAGTTGTTTTGTCTGTCATCGAGGTGGACACATTACGACATTTGCCTTCACGTCCATGTAGGGGGAAGTGTGCACACGCAGCACAGAGCATGTGCGTGGGGAACACTTATAGCACATGGCTGAGAAATGACCATTTCTGAGGTGCCAAAGGCCAGTTTTCCATGTGAGGACACTAGAAGTCTGCATGGAACCCACGTTCGTGAACTATTTAACACCTTTGTTGGTGACATGGGCACTGGGATCGAGCACCCGCAGGAAGTTCCCAACGACACCGACCTGGGTGGTGCGGTCAACACGCTGGAGGGA